TTCTACAGAAGGTGCTCTGCCTGCTAGTAATGCATTAGACAATGCTGAGTCTTCTTCCCTTACTTCTTCTGTATCACCTGTTGGATCTAACCCTGTTGATATTGAGTTTGAAAAATGAGATCCTTAATCCATCTTCAAGTTGTCCTACTCGAGTAAGAAATCCTCCTAGTTATCTTCGTGGTTACCATTGTTTTCTTGCTATTACCTCCTTACATGAGCCTCAATCCTATCAAGAGGCCTCTTGTAACCCTTTTTGGTAGTAAACTATGCAAGATGAATTACAAACTCTTAAGAAAACTCGTACATGGGATTTAGTTGATCTTATTGCTGGAAAGCCTTTGATAGGTTGTAAATGGGTGTACAAGATCAAAACTCAGTCTGATGGTTCCATGGAACATTACAAGGCTCGTTTGGTTGCTAAAGGATTTACTCAAGAATATGGGATTGATTATGAGGAAACTTTTGCATTTGTTGCTCGTCCTACTTTAGTTCATAGTTTGATTACTATTACTGCAGCAAAAGGATGGAAATTGTTTTAAATGGATGTGAAAAATGCCTTTCTAAATGGTGATCTTATAGAGGAAGTTTACATGAAACCAGTTCCTAGACTTAAGCATCCTCCAAACAAAGTTTGCCGATTGAAGTGAGCTATGTATGGTTTGAAGCAAACACCTTGAGCCTAGTTTGCCAAGTTTACTACCACCACAGTGAATTTGGTTTTACTTCTAATCCTCATGATACTGCGTTGTTCATACGCAAGACTAATCATGATATGGTTCTATTACTTCTTTATGTTGATGATATGATCATTACTGGGGATGATATTTCAAATATTCATGATCTTAAGTAATTTCTCAATTAGAAGTTTGAGATGAAAGATCTTGTGTTTTGAGATATTTCTTGGGACTTGAGATTACCTCTTCTGATAATGGTTATCTTCTCTCCCAAACAAAATATGCTTTTGATCTTATATCTAAAGCCAGACTCATTGACAGTAAGATTGCATCTACTCTTCTTGAGCCAAATGTTCAACTTACACCCATGGATGGTTCTCTATTAGTTAATCCTAGTCGCTACAGATAGTTGGTTGGAAGTTTAATTTATCTAACTACAACACGACCAAACATAACTTATGCAGTTTATGTTGTTAGCCAGTTTATGGTTATGCCTCACTCCACTCATTATGTAGCAGTACTTCACATTATTCGTTGTATTAAAGGTACCATTTTTTATGGACTTCACTTTTTTGCTCATTCATCTCTTGAACTTCGTGTTTACTCTAACGTTGATTAAGCTGAAAACTCTAATGATCATAAATCCACCACTAGATATTGTCTTTTTCTTGGTAATTCCTTAATTTCTTGGCGTAGCAAAAAATAGATAGTTCCATCACGTTCTAGCATAGAGGTTGAATATCAAGCACTTGGAGACACCACATCAGAGTTAATTTTACGTTGGCTACTAAAAGATATAGGTGTTCCTCAACCGCCTATTACTAATTTTTAGTATGACAATCAAAGTGTCATGTAGATTGCTCATAATAATGTCTTTCATAAACGCACTAAATACATTGAGGTTGACTATCACTTTGTTTGTCATCATGTTGCACAAGGAACTATTCATTTGGTTTTCATTGGCTCTGCTAATCAATAGTAGTTTTTTTCACCAAGGCTCATTTTCTTGGATGCTTTCATACTCTTCTTTTCAAACTAAAGTTGGTTTCATCACAACCACCTTGAGTTTAAGGGGGAATATTAAGATAAGAACACAATAATTCATATCATATTCACACTTATTGTAAATATTTTATACCTTAAAATATTTTCTTTATATGCTTTATACTTTAAAATATTTTCCTTGTAAACACTTATATATAAATCATTATACATACAATATTATTCAAAAAAACAATAAATCTTTCTTCAAGTATCTCTTCTTTTTCTAACAATATTGTATTGAATTAATTTTCAATTAAAAATGTTTCCAGAATCCAGATTTTGGATGGGGTGAGTTATAGTTTATATTACATTTAACTAGAAACGTATGGTGTGAATTTCGAGTTCTTTCTGTAGTCTAACAACAGGTTTGACAGAAAATGAAACTTGATTATGATTCCAAGCATGCTATAGCAACAAGCCTAAACCCAAATTGCTATAGGTTGGTTGCGCCTAATTTCCAAAGTGAAAATTTGAGGATTTCAATTGGGAGGACAGTCAGGAGACTAATAAAAACACCCCGTAATTCTTTTGTTTTGGCATTTGATCGGATAAGAGCTACAAGTTATCGATCAAGGATGACATTCAACGCCCAATATTTAGATCAGTCAAAACAAACAAGAATTTACATATTCATGCACTCACTCAACATAATCGGAACATTATGATTCCAATTAATATTACAAACACTGTTACAGGTGAAACAGAAGATGAATTTGATGCATTTGGTGTCAGCACCGGCCTGATCCCTGGACTTGTTTTGGGCGCCTCTGCTCCAGCGGGTGACAGATCCAGCGGTGTTTCAGATGCTGGTGGAGCTGCTGTTGTTGCAGCTCTGGAACCTGACCAATTACAAAATACAGAAAAACGAGTTCAACCATTCAGGGGAGAATCGGGAGGCCTATATTACGTAGACTCAACATCAAATATGTGACACATATACTGTTCCAACTTAGATTTAATTACCTTGAGGACTTAAAGGAGATGTAGCTGGAGGTGGAAGGAGAAAAGGAACAGGACCTGGAGCTGGAAGAGGAGAACCAGAAGCTGCAAAAGGCCGCAAATCGAACAATTAGAAGATTAGCAGACTTTTATGGTAAAGGTGAAGAATTTTATCTAAAGGTTGTACCCTCGCACTGCAAAGGGACACCACCCATGTTACAAGCTCGGGGAAGATTAAATGATAGGGTCCGGTTAAACGGGATAGGAACATTCGCTGTGATTATGAGACAGGCACAATCCATGCTGGTGCTCATGAGTGACTTAAAGGAATTGCAGCAACTTTGAGTTGGCGTAGTTCCCCCATTGGCTGTGCTTCCGGTGAAGAAATTCAGACATGGTGTGAAGCTAGTGATCACTGAGGTTGTGCATGGCGTACTGATCTGCCCTGTAACTGAAATAACTGCCACAGTTGCTATGATTGAAATCAATTGCAAAACCTTGAAGGCTTTCATGGTTTTTTCTTTCCAAGGAATGAGTGAGAATTAGGTTGGGGTTTGGTTTTATAGGTTTAGAGGTTTTTGAGTAATTAGGACGGGAAAGTAGGCAGATTTGAAGTGGGTTTGGAGTTCAACCACTTGAAACAAACTTTCATCATGCAAGGAATCCTCTTATAATTATATATTTCTTTTTTTTTTTTTGGCAATAATATTT